TGGAGTTCGACAAGAGAACGGTTTTGTCCAGGGCGGAGGCGAAGCAGCTCGCGGCAGAGCTGGGCTTCGTGCTGCCTTCCGCCTGAGCGCGGCTGCGCCTCGCTCGAAGCTCGCGGGGTTGTCCCAACGGCTTGGTCTTGCGCGCCAACGGCTCGCGGGGTTGTCCCGACAGACTGGCCCGCGGGGTTGTCCCAACGGCTGCGCGACGTGACCAGTAGAGAACGCGCCTGTGCTGGCCGTGGCGGCGACGGCGCCGAGGAACATCGACATGCGCGCTCATGCAACAGGAAGGGGAGGAGGTGGCGGGGCGCGGAACAAACAGGGGGGCGAGGATGGTGACAACGTAAGGAGTGGAAGGGGGGCCCGCGCCAAGGCGACAGGAAATATACGCAGAAGAGACAGCCAGGACGCCTCACCAACCACGAGGACGACGGTGATGTTTTTTTTTTTTCTCCAGATTCGCCCAAAGGATTCTTATGTGGGGTTCTTCCGTCGGAGTAATTAGTACTACTACTACTACTACTACTACTACTACTACTACTACTACTACTACTACTACTGCTGCTGCTGCTGCTGCTGTTACTACTACTACTACTACTACTACTACTACTACTTCTACTACTACTACTACTACTACTACTACTACTACTACTACTACTACTGCTACTACTACTACTACTGCGACGGCGACTACTACTACTACTACTACTACGACTACGACTGCTACTACAACTACTGCTGCTGCTACTACTCCTACTACTGCTACTACTGCTACTACTAGTACCACTACTAGTGGTACTACACCTGCTACTAGTAGTATACGTGCTACCACTACCTACTACTGCTACTACTACTACTACTACTACTACTACTACTACTACTACTACGACTACTACTACGACTACGACTACTACTTCGACGACTACTCCTACTACTACCAATACTACCACTACCACCTACGACTATTACTACTAAGACGGCGACTACTACTACTACTACTACTACTACTACTACTACTACCACGACTGCCACTACTACTTCTCCTACTCCTACTACTACCACCACTACTACTACTACTACTACTACTACTACTACTACTACTACTACTACTACTACTACTACTATTACTACTGCTACTGCTACTGCTACTACGAATACTATTAGCACTTGCTACCACTTACCAAAACCACTACCACTCCCACCCACACTACCACTTACCACTACCACATTACCATTTACGACGACAACGAGGACGTACGACGGTACGTCTACTACTACTACTAACACTATATTATTAATTAACTATACTACTACTAATACTGCTACTACTACTACCATACTACTACTATGAATACATACTACTACTACTACTACTACGACTAATACTACTACTACTAAATACACTTACTACTACTACACTGCTACTACTACTACTACTGACTGCTGCTGCTAGCTGATGGGCTTCGGACTACTACTACTACTACTACTACTACTACTACTACTACTACTACACTACAACTGCTACTGCTACTGCTATACTGACTACTACTGCTACTAATACTATACTACTACTATACTGATAATACTACTACTACTACTACTAATATACACTACTACTACTACTACTACGACCTACTACTACTACTACTACTACTACTACTACTACTACTACTACTACTACTACTACTACTACTAGTACTACTAGCACTGCCGCTGCTACTCCTACTACTGTTACTGCTACTACTACTACCACTACTACTACTACTACTACTACTACTACTACTACTACTACTACTACTACTACTACTACTACTACTACTACTACTACTACTACTACTACTACTACTACTACTACTACTACTACTACTACTACTACTACTACTACTACTACTGCTAATAATACTTTTACTGCTACGCCTACTCGGACTACAACGAATACTACGACGACTCAGACTACTACTACTACTACGACTGCTACTACGACTAGGACGACGACGGCGACGACTACTACTACTACCACTACTTCTTCCCCACACCCAAAGTGGGTTTTTTCTTGTTTTCTCTGGACACCCCGCGCAGGAACAGGAACACACACACACCCACTCACACTCTCTCATCATCAACCTCATCAGCATCATCGATGATGCTCTCTCACATGCTTAGTCACTCACATACTCATCATCATCATCACTCGCACTCTCTCACACGCTCACGAACATCATCATCATCATCATCATCGGCATCGGCATCATCCTCATTCAAACATCATCATCGCCACCACCACTCACAATCAATCATCATCCTCTTCACCACTCATCTTCACCACCACTCATCATCCTCATCCT